TAAATCGGACGAAAATATATATGAATCGATTTTCACGAAACTTGGCACACATCATTCTAGGCTTAATTCAGTACGTTGTGCCAAATTTCGTGGAAATCGGAGGATATATAGGGTCTTTGGTGCACCATTTACATAAAATCGGACGAAAATATATATGGGAGCTATATCTACATATCAACCGATTTTCAGGAAACATAGCACACATCATTCTAAGTTTAATTCAGTACGATGTACCAAATTTCGTGCAAATCGAAAAATATATAGACACTTTGGTGATTTTCCTTAAATCGGACTAAAATATATGTAGGAGCTATATCTAAATCTGAACCGATTATTTCCAATTTCAATAGGGTTCGTCCTTGGATCAAATAACTGACTTGTGCCAAATTTCATCCAAATCGGATCATAAATGTGACCTGTACTTTGTTTACAATTTAACATCTACAGACGGACGGATGGACGGAGTGACGGACGTGGATAAATCGACTCAGAAAGTGATTTCATGCATATTCTCAAAAGGAACCATGTTTCCTTTTGCCTGTTACAAACATATGCACAAACACATAATAACCTGTGCCACAGTGTGGTGATGGGTATAAATACAAGTTGGTACTGCAGGGCGTATTTATGTTGTCGCAACGTATACGTATACGTATTGAATTTTGCGACATGTTTTTAGAAAAATTCTACAAAGGGGTCGATTTTTTAAAGAATATTTTTTCATGGTCAAAGACCATAGTAGCATAGAGGGAGTTCTAAGTTATGTTTGCTAGATTTACTGTTTACCGGCAGTTCGCTGTGTCATGCCAACAGTCAGCAAGTCGTCATTTTGGATTTTAAGACATTTGGTAAATTTGTAATCGCAAATTTAGGCACAGTGGTTCGAAAAAAAAATTATTGGACCACGGCTGATATAACCCTTGAAATTTTTTTAAATCCGCGCCTAATAAAACCCTTGATTTTTTTTTAAATCCACGCCTAATAAAACCCTTGATTTTTTTTATCCACGCCTAATAAAACCCTTGATTTTTTTTAAATCCACGCCTAATATAGCCCTTGATTGAAAACGCTTTTTTTAACTCTTTATTATTTGGGAATCTTTAAACCAGCCCACTTTCCCAAATAATATACCATATCCTTTCTTTACCAAACTCTTAAGTCTTGTGTGAAAATATTTGAAAAAGAACTGCTGCTTCCAGGACCTCTTTCTTATTTTTTTTATTTAGCACCACTAGAGATGTATTACTCCTCCAGTCTCAAGATGGCTAAGTTGACAAAAGTACTTTTGGGCTTGAGGGAGAGAAAAAAAAAACGTGAGATTTTCTCAAGGTGTGTCTGCTGTAAATTGCCCCGTATGTGGTGGTGACACTTGTAAATCTACGAATAACAGCAGCAGCGGCATCAGTAAGTTGAGCAATTTATGTCCATGTATGTTTGTAAAGACTAACAAACAAATTGTACATTAAAAATTTATGTGCACAACAATCTGCTGTGTACATCCGCCGGCTTCATATGATTTGTGTGGGAGTTTTGTATTTGTTTTTTTTTTTTGTATTTTCAGGACACCTATAAATTTATTATGGAGGTTAAAATTAAGAATTTATGGTAGGCTTTTAATTGAAAAATTATGGTAGGGTGGATGGATAGGAGGAAAGGGAAGAAATGAAAAAAAAAAAATGAAATACCATCACAATGTGACACAATGGAGGCTTATGAGTTGATTTTAAGCTTTAGAAGTAATAAGAGGATTATTCTCAAGCACATTGTGAGAATGAAGACAATGTGACCAATTTGTTATATTGATAATTCACAATATGATATATAATCTATAAATAGTACGACCATACATGGCATGACCATACATGGCACATAAGAACTCTTAAAAATAATATTCTGGACTACCTTCCACCTTTAGAAAAATCAAGGACCCTACACAAGACTTCTCTTAGAGTTGTTCATATATTCTCTGAAGACCTCTTCCTTTTATTGAAAATAAAACGACCTTCATGTATAGCTTAGATATCTTCTCATATAATTTGTTGTCTACATTCCCCATCAACTGCTGTCAGTTTTTTTCAAACTACACATTTAATTAGTGTTTCCTTTTTTTCCAAATAAATTGAAATTCTCTTCATTAAAGGATAACAACATCATAATTACAAAGGACAATGAAATTGCCAACAAAAATATTAGCTAATTAAGTTTTACATCAACTAATTTGAATTGAAATAAAACAAAATATTTCAAGGACGCAAAAACCTCAAAATGCACCAAGGGTGGTGGTGGTGCCGAAAACAAATAGAGTGTAATTAGCAACCCTTCATTATCAGTTGATTTACTAGTGTACTTTTTTTGAAATAAGCTCAAATAAATAAACCAACTTTAAATAATCTAAGAATTTAAATTTAACGAAATGGAAGCCGTACATACAAGAGGTAATAATTAATGTTGGAAACATTAAAAACCAACGAGCGGAGCAGTATAGTCGGATGTGGGCGACCATATGAAACCAACTACACAACTTCTACCAACCTCTAATTTTTGTAGTTCTATACTCTGAGCCTGAGCAAAATTTCGAGATATTTGCACTCTCTTGACTGATTATAGGTCAACAGCTCCACGTTCTAACCCTGAAATATTTTCGAAATCTTGTTTTCTCGAGGTGAATACTTAACCCAAAAAAATGTGGTCACTTTAGGTTGTTGTTGATTTGACCCTTGGAATATTGGAATATTGACCGATCATCATCTAAACAGCCGTTCTAAGTAATTGTTCAGAACTTTATGTAAAATTTCAAAGCGATCAGTGCGACATTTCCGCCCTCTGGTGGGATAATAGTAGAACTAAACAATATCATAACACATAGACACCTTCAAATGTTTACGTATAACTCCCACATCCGAGTACATACAACCATATAATTGGTATATGTTTAAAGGCCAACTACTTTTCTTGGATATACTACTGAATATACTATCAACTTCCGGATCTATGTTCTTCTGGGGTATATATATATGCCATAGAATACACATTTTGTCACAAAAGTCTTGGTCCACTTGACCCGCTAAATATTGACCGATCTCCATCAAAATAGGTATGCTTATTCTCTGGCCCGATCCCCTTTTCCATGAAAAATTTCGCAATGTTCGGGCCATAATTACGGCCTCCGGAGCGACCACAAAAATCGACAAAAATTAGGTATCCCCTCAATATTAACCGATCTTTTACAAATTATAATGGACAGACGGACGGACGGATGGACACACATGACTAGATCGATGATCGCCTCCAATAGTCCCTAAAATATTTTTAAAAAATCCACGCCTACAATAGCCCATAGAAAAATATTTTTTTAAAAAATCCACGCCTACAATAGCTTCCGATAGTCCCTAAAATATTTTTAAAAAATCCACGTCTACAATAGCTTCCGATAGTCCCTAAAATATTTTTAAAAAATCCACGCCTACAATAGCTTCCGATAGTCCCTAAAATATTTTTAAAAAATCCACGCCTCCAATAGCCTCATATAGTCCCTAAAAAATTTTTTTAAAAATCCACGCCTCCTATTGCTCCTAATTTTTTTAATCATCCACGCCACCTATAGCTCCTGAAGCTTGTATACCCTTTACCACACTATGGTGCAGGGTATTATGTCTTTGTGCATATGTGTGTTACAAGCAAAAGGAAACGAGATAGACACATGGTTCTTTTTGAGAATATGCATAGAATCACTTTCTAAGTCGATTTATGCATGTCCGTCCGTCTGTCTGTCCATGTAAAATTGTAAACAAAGTACAGATCGCATTTTTGATTCGAATTAAATGAAATTTGGCACAGCTCATTCATTTGGCCCTTGGACGAACCCTATTGAAATTGGGAAAAATCGGTTCAGATTTAGATATAGCTCCCATATATATTTTCGTCCGATTTATGGTAAATGGTGCACCAAAGTCTCTAAATATCTTTCGATTTGCATGAAATTTGTCACAGCGTACTGAATTAAGACTAGCATGATGTGTGCTAGGTTTCGTAAAAATCGGTTAAGATTTAGATATAGCTCCCATATATATTTTCGACAGATTTAAGGCACCAAAGTCCCTAAATATATTTCGATTTGCACGAAATTTGGCAGAGCATACTGAATTGAGTCTAGAATATTGTGTGCTAACATTCGTAAAAATCGGTTGAGATTTAGATATAGCTGCTATATATATTTTCGTCCGATTTAATGTAAATGGTGAACCAAATACCCTATATATCTTTCGGTTTGCACGAAATTTGTCATAGCGTACTGAATTAACTCTAGAATGATGTGGACTCAGTTTCATGAAAAACGGTTCAGATTTAGATATAGCTCCCATATATATTTTCGTCCGATTTAAAACAAATGGTGCACCAACTACTTTCTTTACTGGTTTAATCTAGAATCGTTAGCCTATAGAAAAATTTCGTCAGCCTTGCTGATGCATTTTTTATGGAAAAAAATCGAAGTGAAGTATTTTTTTCCTGTAGAAGAAATTCCTCAACCTTGGTTAGGTATTTTTTCCTGTAGAAAAAAATTCGTCAGCCTTGGTGAGATATTTTTTTCCATAGAGCAAATTTCGTCAGCCTTGTGTAAGTATTTTTTCACATAAAGAAATCGTCAGCCTTGTTGAGGTATTTATTTCCTGTAGAAAAAAAATTCGTCAGCTTTGCTGAGGTATTTTTTTTCCTATAGAAAAAAATTCGTCAGCCTTGGTGAAGTAGTTTTTTTTTTGCTGTAGAAAAAAATCGTCAGCCTTGGTGAGGCATTTTTTCTATAAAAATTTATAGAAAAAAATCGTCAGTCGTGGTAAGGCATTTTTTTCCTAAAAAAATCTTCAATATCTTTGAAAATAACTCATCTATGAAGGGATTTTTATATAGAAAGCAATCTTCAGTCCTCTATTATATGCCAAAAAATGTCGAATGGCGACAATGATATGATAATATGTAAAATGTCTATATAAGTCATTACTTACCGGTCTCAATTCACTAACATCCCAGCCAAGATATTCGGCAACGGCCATCATTTGATTGACAATGGCATCCATTTCGGCGGTATCCAAAACTCCATTGCCATCCGTGTCATATAAGCGGAACATAACTGGGAGAAGAAATATGGAAAACGATAAAATGTATGCAATGAAAATATCCACTATAATTATATGAAAAATTATGCCCCTAAAATTATGCTATCATTTTTATTTGTCAGGAACAAAATATAAATAAAAAATCCCCCTAAATATGCCACAAAATTCGATAAAAGTTTTCTTTAGCCTAAAAGTATGCATTACATCTAAAAATATTTTCCTTCAAATTAATTAAATATTTAATTTCGTCTTCTTGTCTACTTACATTCCAATTTATCCTCCGGCCGTCCAGCTTCCAAGAGCGACAAATAGCACACGACATCTTTGAGTGGTACCTTCAACGTCAACGGGTCAAAGTGTGACAATTTGCGTGTCAGTAATTTAATATCAGCTGTAAGTAGATGAAAGGATTTATTAACAAAGTTGTTGTTATTTTTGTTGTTGTTGTTATTTGACAGGTGGTAAAATAAATATTTTCACAACTTCACAATATTGTTATTACAAGGCATCTTAATAATTAATTTGTGTGTGTGTGTGTGTGCGCGGGTTCGTAGGCGTTCTGTGAAACTTTTCTCCTTAGAATAAAAGTTCAATATAAAAATTAATTAAACCACAAGTGGTTAATAGAATAATCCCTGATGCGTGTCAGAGCTTTCTGTTTATTTTTTGGTTAATGGCTGAGTAATTGAAAAATGTTCAAACACTTTTAGAAAAATGGACAAATTGTTTAGAAGTGCAGGGAGGCTCCACCATGTATTTTATGGATGTTGGAAAAAAATATTAAAAAAAAATAATTCTTTAAAAATCCACACCTATATTGGACCTTGAAAAAATATTTCAAACCAGTAAGGAAAGTAGTGAAGTCGAACGGGGCCGCCTATATGATACCCTTCACCACTTTGGGTATATTCAGCAGATGAATCCTAACAGACGTCGCATTTTTCAAGGACCACTTAAATGAAATTGAATCCATAAACATGCCATTCTGCAACCGATACTATTTTTTTCACTTTGTCAGATATAGAAGCTATATCTAAATCTGAATCGATTTTCACGAAACTTTGCACACATCATTCTAGACTTAATTCAGTACGCTATGCCAAATTTCGTGCAAATCGAAAGATACATAGGGACTTTGATACACAATTTACCTAAAATCGGACGAAGATATATATGGGTGCTATATCGAAATCTGAACCCATTTTCACGAAACTTAACACACAACATGCTAGACTTAATTCAGTACGCTATGCCAAATTTCGGGCAAATCGAAAGATACATAGGGACTTTGGTACACAATTTACCTTAAATCGGACGAAGATATATATGGGAGCTACATCTAAATCTGAACCGATTTTCAGGAAACTTAACACACACCATTCTGTGCTTTATTCAGTACGCTATGCCAACATTCGTGCAAATCGAAAGATTTCCAGGGACTTTAGTGCACTATTTACCTTAAATTGGACGAAAATATATATGGGACCTATATCTAAATCTGAACCGATTTTCAGAAAACTTAACACACGTCATTCTAGGACTAATTCATTACGCTGTGCCAAATTTCGTGCAAATCGAAAGATATATAGGGCCTTTGGTGCGCCATTTACATTAAATCGGACGAAAAAATATATGGGAGCTATATCTAAATCCGAACCGATTTTCACGAAACTTTGCACACATCATTCTAGACTTAATTCAGTACGCTATGCCAAATTTCATGCAAATCGAAAGATACATAGGGACTTTGATACACAATTTACCTTAAATCGGACGAAGATATATATGGGAGCTATATCTAAATCTGAACCGATTTTCACGAAACTGTGCACACATCAATCTAGACTTAATTCAGTACATTTTGCCAAATTTCGTGTCAATCGGAACGATATATAAGGACTTTGTTACACCATATACATAAAATCGGACGAAAATATATATGGGACCTATATCTAAATCTGAACCGATTTTCAGAAAACTTAACACACGTCATTCTAGGCCTAATTCATTACGCTGTGCCAAATTTCGTGCAAATGGGAAGATATATAGGACCTTTGGTGCGCCATTTACATTAAATCGGACGAAAATATATATGGGAGCTATATCTAAATCTGAACCGATTTTCTCAAAACATAGCACATATCATTTTGGACCTAATTCAGTACCCTATGCCAAATTTCGTGCAAAGCGAAAGATATATAGGGACTTTGGTACACCATTTACATTAAATCGGACGAAAATATATATGGGAGCTATATCTAAATCTGAACCGATTTTCACGAAACTTAACACACATCATTCTAGGCTCAAAGCAGTACGCTGTGCCAAATTTCGTGCAAATAGAAAGATATATAGGGACTTTAGTGGACTATTTACCTAAAATCGGACGCATATATATATATATGGTAGTTATATGTAAATCTGAACCGATTTTCAGCAAATTTCAAACACACCATTCTAGACCTAATTTAGTACGCTGTGCCAAATTTCGTGCAAATCGAACGATATATGGGGACTTTGGTGGACCATTTACATAAATCGGACAAAAATATACATGGGAGCTATATCTAAATCTGAACCGATTTTCCCGAAACTTTTGAGAATATGCATAGAATCACTTTCCGAGTCGGTTTATGCATGTCCGTCCATCTGTCTCTCCATGTTTAATTGTAAACAAAGTACAGGCGCATTTATGATCCGAATTGAATAGAATTTGGCATAGGTCACTTATTTGGTCCAAGGTCGAACCCTATTGAAATTGGGAAAAGTCGGTTCAGATTTAGATATAGCTCTCATATATATCTTCGTCCGATTTAATGTAAATGGTGCACCAAGTTCCCTATATATCTTTCGATCTGCACGAAATTTAGCACAACGTACTGAATTGAGCTTAGAATGAGGTCTGCCAAGTTTCCTGAAAATCGGTCCAAATTTAGATATAGCTCCCATATATTTTCGTCCGATTTAATGTAAATGGTGTACCAAAGTGCCTATATATCTTTGGATTTGCACGAAATTTGGTAAAGTGTACTTAATTAGGTCTAGAACGATGTGTGTTAAGTTTCGTGAAAATCGGTTCAGATTTAGATATAGCTTCTATATCTGACAAAATGAAAAATTTAGTATCGGTTGGATCCATAAACATGTCATCCAATTTCATTTTACTGTTCCTTTAAAAATGCCACGTCTGTTAGGATTCATCTGTTGAATATAGCCAAAGTGTAGAAGGGTATCATATATTCGGCCCCGTCCGACTTTACTACTTTCCTTACTGGTTTTATTTGAAAAAATTGTTTTTCTTTCTATTTGAAAATTTTTAGAAATCCGTAGATATTCTAAATTTATTCAAATCAATTCCAAACGAAGAAAAAGAAAATACCAACGATATTATCATTATCTGCATAAAGACCTTTGCGTATAAAATAAATTTTTGTAGAAATGTTACTGCATTGAATTGATGTTTTTTTTTCTTGTATGTATTTGGTCACAAATACAATCACACCATAATGTTCCACAGGAGGACAAAGAATCGTTATTGACAACAATCGAATTTCTTGCTTAAATGTCAGTATTAGGAATTTGTCTTGCACTCAATGGTGAATGCTATGTCAAATCACTGCCATTCACATGGATAATATTCACACTCACTCACATCGCTCACACACATATACTCACACAGCTATAACTAAACAATACCATCGCAACGAATATTTTCTCCTTCTCTGAATTGATGTTCTTAAGAATTGTAGAAAAATCGAAAAAAAAATTCATTTCATGGCAAATATTTGTCAATTTTCTGTTGAGCTTTGCACTTTACGCAAAGCTTGACAGAGACGTTTTGTGTTCGGCGTGTGTGTCAGAATCGAATCGAATTTGTTATTAAAATGAATTTATTATTGCAGTGTGCAGTTTGACATTCACAGCCATTCACATTCACTCAATCACAGAAATCTCTAAAATAAATCCCCAAAAGTATACTACAAGAATAGATGAATGCCATAAAATATGCATTGCCAAATATTGACGATTTAAATTATGCAAGAGTTTTTGTTTTTTTTTGGATTTGCTTTGGTAAATGAGTTATGAGAAAGATAAACAAAACGGATATAGGCGGCGATATGGAATATCAAATGACCTACAGATTTTTGAGAGAGGTGGATTAAAAAAATATATATTTTTTCAATCATCTGCAAAAGGAGAGGATATTTTTGTAACAGGCAAAAATAATCGAGATAGACCCATGGTTTCTTTTGAGAATATGCATAGAATCACTTTCTGAGTCGATTTATGCATGACCGTCTGTCCGTCCGTCTGTCTATGTTAAATTGTAAACAAAGTACAGGTCGGATTTTTGATTCGAATTGGATGAAATTTGGCACAGCTCATTTATTTGGCCCAAGGACGAACCCTATTGAAATTGGGAAAAATCGGTTCAGATTTAGATATAGCTCCCTTATATATTTACGTCTGATTTTATGTAAATAATGCACCAAAGTCCCGATATATCCTTCAAGATGCACGAAATTTGGCATAGAGTTCTGCATTAAGTCTAGAACGATGTGTGTTAAATTTCGTGAAAATCGGTTCAGATTTAGATATAGCTCCCATATATATTTTTGTCCGATTTTAGCTAAATGGTGCACAAAAGTCCCGATATATCCTTCGATTTGCACGAAATTTGGCACAGCGTACGGAATTAAGTCTAGAACGATGTGTGTTAAATTTCTTGAAAATCGGTTCAGATTTACATATAGCTCCCATATATATTTTCGTCCGATTTTATGTAAATGGTGTCCCAAAGTCCCGATATATCCTTCGATTTGCACAAAATTTGGCATAGCGTTCTGAATTAGGTCTAGAGCGATGTGTGTTAAATTTCGTCAAAATCGCTTCAGATTTCGATATAGCTCCCATATATATTTTCGTCCGATTTTATGTAAATGGTGTACCAAAGTCCCTATATACCCTTCGATTTGCACGAAATTTGGCACAGCGTTCTGACTTATCCTCTTCTGTAGGGTACCTTAAATATAATCATCATAAATTTGCAATGCTGCATCGTGTTATTTTTTTTTTTTTGATACACAAAACTATCTGCATTAATTTGCTTATTCCCAACCCCAAAAGTATGAAGCAGCATGTCCATCACATAATAATAAGTGTAAGTCGCCAAGACTGTTAGCAGGAGATACTTTTTAAGCAAAACTACAATAAATTGCAAGTCTCATTTCTTTTGACTTTGATTAAAGTTTGCTTTCATATTTTCATTTCGTTGTTTTCTAACGACTCCCTAAAGTATGCTTTAGTTTTTGTAGTGGTTGTTGCTGTTTCTATTCCTTCAAACTTTATTGATCAATTTATTGTGGATGAAGAAGAAGAGGAAGACGCTTC